ACCAGTATAAGTGTCACCATGGCAATACTCCCCCTAGCAATACAACAATCTAATCGTTTTTTCTTATTTTAACTGTAAATTGTCTGGTTCGGTTGGCAAAGAACAAACGCTCTGATTCAGATTTACATTCTTTACAGTCTATTTCTATAGCTGAAATTCACATCATCTCATTTATAGATCCAGATCAATCAGATCATCCACTCTGTTTAATAGATCAGAGTAAAAACTGCTGCTTGCATTGACTCAGTGACCCTTCAGCAACCCCTCACACTAAGCATGCATTAGGCAATAGTGGAGAGGACAACCGTTGAATGCTGATCTATGAACAGTTTCTATTGTAGAAAAGGCAACAGTCAACCAGCTCCACAGGCGGTCCCGTCCAGGAAACACACAGCCAGGCAGACGAGCTCCGAGCCAGCTCCCATGTCAGAGGATGAAGAGAGCACATCCAGTTAGTCACAGTCAGAGAAACAGGACTACACTGGAAAACAGGCCAAGCTCCAACATCTAGAAACAAAGGTGCTGATGGCAGCAGCACAGCTGATATTTCTCTCCAGGATGGAGTCACAGCCAAACAGGAACAGATGATTTTCCCCAGTGGGAGTTGTTAGCATTAGATCATGAGTGGGTAACAGTAGTGAAGCTGCAGAGAGGTGAGGTAAACTGTGACTCTGCATCCTGGTCTGTCTGGGTTTTAGGACTGATAAATTGATTCCCAGTGGGACGGATGATGGAGGATGACTCAGCAGCTTTCTGGACGCCTCTCTGTTTGCAGGCGGCGTCTACGGGCTGTCCTTCAGAACCCGGATCGATGAGGAAAACTGTGTCGCTCTGACACCAAACGGTAAGACTTCAGATGACATCATTTCCTGTTTACTACGTAGAGATCTTCCTCTCCATCGGTACCATCTATTAAAGCAAACAAACAATAAACATTTTCATTTGAACTAAAATCTATCAGATTAACTGAATTCTATGTGTCGTAGCGTCCAGAAGAGGGCGCTGCTGATGGTCCTTCAGTAAAAGCAAACCATCAGTCATAGCAGACATAGCATATATCTCGCATTTTCCTCCGTATCTGTAGAGGTTTTATCGCTGTAACATTTTCAGCGGACATTGCTAACATCCAAACAAATCAGACCATATATGTCCAGAATCTATATAATCATATTAGTTCCTCTAATCTCAGCATATATCACTGCAAACTCAGTTCAGTTTGATTAGATTTTAATCTGAACAAACCTGTAATCTAACTGAAAAGTGATTATAAAATGTTGTGAAATGGCCGGTTTATTATATTATCTCTGACTCGTCTTCCATGTCATTATAATGAGATCTAAGGCCACCTCGGTTCAGGTCTGATCCAAGATGGCCGCCCTGTAGCGTCTAAAGTCTGTGATTGCTGACTGATGGCTGGCCCTGAAAATGGAGCTAAAAGCAGTTAGCATCCACTGATGGACAGGAAGTGGCTGTTACATCTGTCAGAGCGTCATACCCCGCCTGTGATGATGTCAGAGCGGGCATTTCCCCCCCCTGTGGGTGATGAAAGTCAAGGTCATACCCCGCCCGATGATGAAAAGGGCCGAGCGTTATACCCCCCTTGTTTATGAAAGTCTAAGAAGGTCTTAAAACCCCCCCCTGGGGGGGATGGAAAGGAATTTTTTCAGGAAGCGTCCTCCCCGCGGGTGATGGGAATTTTAATTTTTTCAAAGCCTGGTTTGGGGGTGAATAAATTTTTTCCCGGGGCCGCCCCCAAAAATCAACCCCTCCCTAAACCCCCCCCTGGGGAGGGTGATGGTAAGAAGGTCTTAACCCCCCCTGGGGATGATGGCAAGGTTTAACCCCTCTTTGAAGAGGGGTTTTGAGGGTAATGCTAATGTGTTCTGCAGGGGCGGGCCCGGCCTCTCTCTGGAAGAGGGGATGGCTAATGCTAATTTTGTCCCCTGCAGGACGGGCCCGGTCCCCTCTCGGACAGAGGATTATGGTTTAAAGCTAATGTGTCTCTGCAGGAAGCCTTGGGCCTCCCCTTTGGAAGAGGGGATGGCTAATGCTAATGCTTTTTCTTGCAGGGCCCTGGTTCCCTTTTCTGGACAGAGGGTGGGGGGGTTTTTTTTTTTTAAAGGGGGTGGTTCTAATGCTAATGTGCTCTGCAGGAAAGCCCGGTTCCTCTTGGACAGAGGAAAGGCTAAAGCTAATGGTTTTCTGCAGGGCGCCCCGGTCCTCTCTCTGGACAGAGGGTGATGGCGAAAGCTAATGTGTTTTCTGCAGGAGCCTGGTCCTTTCTCGGACAGAGGATGATGGTTTTAAAGCTAATGTGTCTCTGCGGACGCCTGGTCCTCTCTCCCCGGGGCAAGGGATGATGGCTAATGCTAAGGGGTCTCCCGCCCGGACGCCTGGGGCCCCCTCTCTGGACAAAAGGATGATGGCTAAATTTCTAATGTTGTTTCTGCAGGAAAGCCTGGTCCTCTCTCTGGACGGGGGGAAAAGGGGGAGGTGGTTTTTCAGGGAGTGTGCTTTAAAATGCTAATGTTTTCTCTGCGGACGCCAGGGCCTCTCTCTGGGGCAGAGGGGATGGGGTAATGCTAATGTGTCTCTGCGGACGCCTGGTCCTCTCTTGGACCAAGAGGATGTGGTAATGCAAAAGTGTCTCTGCCAAGGGCGCCTGGTTTCCCCTTTTCTGGGACAGAGGGGATGGCTAATGCTAATGTGTCTCTGCAGGGGCGCCTGGTCCTCCTCTGGGAACAGAGGGGATGGCTAATGCTAAAAGTGTCCCCTGCAGGGCCCCCTGGGTTTCCTCTCTCTGGACAGAGGATGATGGCTAATGCTAATGCTAATGTGTCTCTGCCCGGGCGCCTGGTCCCTCTCTGGAAAGGGTGAGGGTTGGGTAATGCTAATGTGTCCCCTGCAGGACGCCCCGGGCCTCTCTTTGGACAGAGGAAAAGGGGGGCTAATCTAATTGTTTCTCTGCAGGGCGCCTTTGGGCCTCTCTTGGACAGAGGGGATGGCTAATTAAGCTTAAAGTGTCTCTTTCAGGGCGCCCCGGCCTCTCTCTGGAAGAAGGGTATGGCTAATCTAATTGTTTTTCTGCAGGAGCCTGGTCCTCTCTTTTGGACCCGATAGATGGGGTAAAACTAAAGGGGTCTTGCAGGGCCCTTTGGGCCCCTTTTCTCTGGACAGAGGAGTGGCTAATGCTAATTGTCTCTGAGGGCGCCCCGGTCCCTCTCTCTGGACAGGGGGAGATGGGCTAATGCTAATGTGGGCTCTGCAGACAACCCGGTCCCCTCTCTGGACAGAGGGTGTGGCTAATGCTTTAAAGCTAATGTGTCTCTGCAGGACGCCTTGGGCCTCCTCTCTGGACAGAGGGGATGGGGTAAAAGCTAATGTGTCTCTGCCCGGACCCCCTGGGCCTCTCTCTGGACAAAGGAAAGATGGCTAATCTAAGTTTTCTCTGGGAGGACCCTGGTCCCCCTCTCCCGGGCAGAGGGGATGGCTAATGCTAAAAAGTTGCTCTGCCCCGGGCGCCTGGTTTCCCCTTTTCGGACAGGGAAAAAAAGGGTAAAAGCAAAAGTTTTCTTTTGGCCCGGACGCTGGTCCCCTCTCTGGCAAAATGAGATGGCTAATGCTAATGTGTCTCTGCAGGACGCCTGGTCCTCTCTCTGGACAGAGGATGATGGCTAATGCTAATGTGTCTCTGCAGGACGCCTGGTCCTCTCTCTGGACAGAGGATGATGGCTAATGCTAATGTGTCTCTGCAGGACGCCTGGTCCTCTCTCTGGACAGAGGATGATGGCTAATGAACAAAAGTGGATCCCGCAGGAAAACCCCCCGGTCCCTCTCTGGGGCAGAGGGGGATGGCTAATTTTTTAAAATTTTCTCTGCAGGACCCTGGGCCTCTCTCTGGACAGAGGATGAAAGGCTAATGGGGTAATGTGGGCTCTTGGGAGGGCGCCTGGTCCTTTCTTGGGCGAGATGATTGAAAGGCCCCAATTTTTAAAAAGGAATCTAATGTGTCTCTGCCCGGAGCCTGGTCCTCTTTTCTGGACAGAGGATGGGGGCTAATGCTTAAAAAGTCTCTGGGAGGAGCCTGGGCCCTCTCTGGACAGAGGATGATGGCTTAAAGCTAATGGGGTCTTCTGCAGGACGCCTGGTCCTTCTCTGGACAGAGGATGATGGTAATGCTAATGCTTTAAAGTGTCTCTGGGAGGGGCGGGCCGGTCCTCTCTCTGGACCCGAGGGTGATGGCTAATAATCTAATGTGTCTCTGCAGGGGCCCGGTCCTCTCCTTTGGGCAGGGGGAGATGGCTAAAAGCTAATTGTCTCGCGGACGCCTGGTCCCCCTCTCTGGACAGAGATGAGGCCCCAATGCTAATTGTGTTCCTGAGGACGCCTGGTCCTCCCCTCTGGACAGAGGGGATGGGTAATGCTAATTTGTGCTCTGCAGGGGCGGGCCCGGGCCTCTCTCTGACAGAGGGGAAAGGGGTAATGCTAATGTGTCTCTGCAGGACGCCTGGTCCTCTCTCTGGACAAATTGGCATGGGTTTAAAAATAATGTTCCTTTTTGCAGGACCCCCCTGGGCCCTCCCCTCTGGACAGAGGGGTGATGGCCCAATGCTAATGCTTAAATTGGGCCCCTCAAAGGGCGCCTGGTTCCCCTCTTGGACAGAGGGGATGGCTAAGCTAATGTGTCTCTGCAGGGCGCCTGGTTTCCCCTTCTTGGACAGGGGATGATGGCTAATGCTAAAGGGTAATGTGTCTCTGCAGGGCGGGGCCCGGGGCCTCTCTCTGGAAAGGGTGATGAAAGCTAATGCTAATGTGTCTCGCAGGGGCGCCTGGTCCTCTTCCCCTGGAAAAGAGGGTGATGGCTAATTTCGAATGTGTCCTTTTGCAGGACGCCCGGTCCTCTCTTTTGGACAAAAGGATGATGGTTTTTTCCCCAATGTGTCCCTGCAGGAACCCCGGTCCTTTCCCCTTTGGGGCAGAGGATGGGTGGCTTAAAAGGAAAAGTGTCTAGCAGGAGCCTGGTCCTCTCTCTGGACAGAGGATGATGGCTAATGCTAATGGTCCCCTGCAGGACGGGGGGTCCTCTCTTGGACAGAGATGATGGAAAGGGTAATTTCTTTAAAGTGTCTTGGGGAGGGGCGGGCCGGTCCTCTCTCTGGACAGAGGGTTGGGGAAAGGGTAATGCTAATGGGGTTTTCTGCAGACCCCCTGGTCCCCTCCTGGACAGGGTGGGATGGCTAATGCTAATGTGTCTCTGCAGGACGCCTGGTCCTCTCTCTGGACAGAGGATGATGGCTAATGCTAATGTGTCTCTGCAGGACGCCTGGTCCTCTCTCTGGACAGAGGATGATGGCTAATGCTAATGTGTCTCTGCAGGACGCCTGGTCCTCTCTCTGGACAGAGGATGATGGCTAATGCTAATGTGTCTCTGCAGGACGCCTGGTCCTCTCTCTGGACAGAGGATGATGGCTAATGCTAATGTGTCTCTGCAGGACGCCTGGTCCTCTCTCTGGACAGAGGATGATGGCTAATGCTAATGTGTCTCTGCAGGACGCCTGGTCCTCTCTCTGGACAGAGGATGATGGCTAATGCTAATGTGTCTCTGCAGGACGCCTGGTCCTCTCTCTGGACAGAGGATGATGGCTAATGCTAATGTGTCTCTGCAGGACGCCTGGTCCTCTCTCTGGACAGAGGATAGGGAAGCTTTAAAAGCTAAGGGGTCCCCTGCCCGGACGCCTGGGACCCCTTCTGGACAGAGGATGGGTGGGCTAATTAACTAATGTTTTCTCTGCAGGGGCCTGGTCCTCTTTTCGGGGAGAGGGTGATGGGTAAAAGCTAATGTGTCTCCTTTTAAGGGGCGCCTGGTCCTCTCTCTGGACAGAGGGGAAAGGGGTAATGCCAATGGTCTCTGCAGGGCGCCTGGTCCCCTCTCTGGGCAAGGGTTGATGGCTAATGCTAAAATTTTGTCTCTGCAGGACGCCCTTTTTCTCTTTTGGGGCAGAGGGGGTTTGGGTTAAACTAATGTGCTCTGCAGGACGCCCTGGTCCTCTCCCCTGGAAAAGAGGGGTGATGGCTAATGCAATTTTGTTTCTGCAGGACGGGGGCCTGGTCCTCTCTCTGGACAGAGGATGATGGCTAATGCTAATGCTAATGTGTCTCTGCAGGACGCCTGGTCCTCTCTCTGGACAGAGGATGATGGCAAAAGCCCAAAGTGTCCCCTGCAGGAGCCTGGTCCTCCCCCTTCCCTTTTCAGAGGATAGGCTAATTTAAAGCTAATGTGTCTCTGCAGGGGGCGCCTTGGGCCCCTCTCTGGGCCCGAGGATAGGGAAGCTAAAAGCTAATGTGCTCTGCAGGACGCCTGGTCCTCCCCTTGGGCAGAGGGTGATGGCTAAAAGCTAATGTGTCTCTGGGAGGACGCCTGGTCCTCTCTCTGGACAGGGATGATGGTTAAGCAAAAGGGGTCTCTCAGGACGCCTGGTCCTTTTTTCTGGACAGAGGATAGCTAAGCTAATGCTAAGTGTCTCTGGGAGGAAACCCCGGTTTCCCCTCTCTGGGAAACCCCGAGGATGAAAAGGGTAATGCTTTAAAGTTTCTCTGGGAGGGGCGCCTGGTCCCCTCTTGGACAGAGGTGATGGAAAGGTAATGCTTAAAAGTGTCTTTTGCAGGGGCGCCTGGGGCCTATTCCTGGACAGAGGTGATGGCTAATGCAAAAGTGTCTTGCAGGAAGCCTGGGGCCTCTTCTGGACAGATGGGTGGAAAGGCTAATGCTAATGTGTCTCTGCAGGACGCCTGGTCCTCTCTCTGGACAGAGGATGATGGCTAATGCTAATGTGTCTCTGCAGGAGCCTGGTTTTCCCCCTCTCTGGGGCAGAGGATGATGGGTAAAACAATGTGTCTCTGGGAGGGCGCCTGGTCCTCCCCTCTGGACAGAGGATAGGCTAAACTAATGTGTCCTGCAAGGGGCGCCTTTTTCCTCTCTCTGGACAGAGGGTATGGCTAAAGCTAATTTTTGTCTCTGCAGGGCGCCCGGGCCTCTCTCTGGACGAGGATGATTGGGAAAAGCTAAAAAGTGGGTTTTGCAGGACGCCTGGCCTCTCTCTTTGGGCAGGAGGGTGATGGCTAAAGCTAAAGTTTCTGCAGGAAAGCCTGGGTTTCCCCTCTCTGGGGCAGGGGATAAGGGAGCTAAAGCTAAGTGTCTCTGCAGGACGCCTGGCCTCTCTCTGGCAGATTTATTTGGCCCAATGCAAAAGTTGGGCTCTGCAGGAAAGCCTGGGGCCTCTCTCTGGGCAGAGGGGAAGGGTTAACAATTTTTGGGCTTGGAAGGGGGCCCTTTCCTTCACCCAAAAGAAGTGGCAATGGTAAGGTTCTGGGGGCCCGGTTTCTTGGGACCCCGGGGTCCCAAGCCCCAATCCCTTTGTCTCTGGGTGGGCCCTCTTGGCAGTGGTGGGAATGCCCAAAGGCCGCAAGCATGGCCCCCTTGGCGGGGGCCCAACCCAAGGGTTTTCCCCAAGGGGCCCCCTGCGAGGTGACCAAACTAATTTCAAGGCTTCCGTCTCCCCCTGGCAAAGGTGAAAGGAAGCTAACCCTTTTTGGGGCCGAGGCGCCTTTCCCCTTTTCTGGGAAACCAAAGGTTTTCCTGCAGGGGCCCCCGGCCCCCTGGCAAGTTTGGCCCCTTTCTTTGGTAATTGGGCCGAGGGGGCCGCCCCTGGAAAAGGTTGCGCCAAGGGGCCCCTGAGGACCCTGGCCCCTTCCCGGGCCGGGTACCCTTTTAACCCCCCCCGGTTTTCCCGAGGGGCCCGGCCCCTTTGGGACGGGGTGGTAAGGCTTTGTCTCCCCTTTCCTCCCTGGGGCCCGGATAGGCTAATCTTTTCTAAAGGTTTCAGGCGCCGGGCTCCTCCAGGGGGAACAACAAATTTTGTCTTCAACCCCCGGGCTTTCCAGAACCACAGCGGAGCCTCAGTGGGGCCCTCAGCGTGTCGCTCTGTGGTCTGCTGCGGCCGCAGGATGTGTGGCGGCTGGTGGAGCAGCTCAGGTCAGCTGACACTCACTCATTCACTCACCTGTACCTGAGCACCAGGTGACCTGAGGCTCCTGTCCTCCAGGGCTCACCTGCAGCAGGCGGAGGAGGACTCCTGGGCCTCCGTGACGGTGCACGGCTTCACCGACAGTCCCGTGTCCTGGGGGGAGGAGGAGCACGGCGTCCTGACGGGAGGAGAGACCTTCTACAACCTGCTGATGTTCCAGGACCACGCCTACCGCCTCCACCTGGCCACCGGGCCGCAGGACGCCTGCCCGCCGTGAGCCGGGCCTGGAGGCGGTGGATCTGAATGGACCCGCTGGTACCGATCAGAACCAAAGGATGGTTCTGATGGTCCACTTTACTGTCACAGCCGAGCGGTTGCCATGGCGTCGTCATCGTGGACACTGATCGCTCCTCTGCAGTTATTTTCCTGACCACTAGGTGGCGCTGAATGCAGAGGGCGGTCCAATGGTAGCTGATGACCAGCTGCCTTATTTTCATTGGTTGTCAGATCAAAGAGGATGGCTGGAATAAAAGCGCCTTTAAAGCAGCACGAGTCATTGGTCATTTTATTACAAATGGGGATAAAAAGGTCAAAGGTCATACTCTGTTATCAGAACCTGCCTCACAAGCTTACAGTTCAGCAATAAAAGCCAATAAAGACCATAGAAATCAAAGTTTATTGTTCATGATGGAGGAAAACATCTAAGGCAGCCCTGTAGCCCCGCCCCTTCCTGTCAGTTCAACAGCCCATTCACTGGTTTCCAGTCAGGAACCAGTTTATGCTGGTCTCTGTTCCTGTGGGTGCAGCACGGGGAAACACCGCCACCGGACCGATTACCCAGATCCCCCAGCAGGTGGACCCAGTCTTCCAGGATCAGAACCAGTTCCATGTTTCCTCTGCTTCTGTCCCACAGCAGAACCGGGTCAGACCCGGACTGGAAGGAGCCGGACTGGATGGAGCCGGACTGGAAGGAGCCGGACTGGATGGAGCCGGACTGGGTGGAGCCGGACTGGGTGGAGCCGGACTGGGTGGAGCCGGACTGGAAGGACTGGGTTAGGGTTCTAGCAGAGTTCGGTTCTCTTCTGCAGGTACTGCAGGATGGAGTCTGTTCCCTGCAGAGACCCCCACACTCTCTTTAGGGCTTCACACTCGCGCTCGTTGGCTTGCTCCAGAGCACTGCGGCTGGTGTTCCTCATCAGGGCTTTGGACTCCTGCAGGACCTGCCAGACAGAAGCGGAACGCAGCGTGTTAAACCTCAGTGGAGCGTGCGGGGCTGTCTTAGGACAGAGACTAACCTGAGAATCCACTCCCACCAGCTCTTTGACCCGCAGCATCACTTCCTGGGTGAAGGTTCCAGGCCAGAGAACCTGCGACACCAAACCTTTAGAACACGCCTCCTGCGCCGTCAGCTTCCTGCCACCCAGCAGCAGCTCGTTAGCCTGGAGGGACAGACACGCTCTGGGTCAGGACCTAAGACCAGTCAAGAGCCTAGTCTGGACAGGGTTCTGGAGACATTGGTCAGGATACGTCTAAGCTAATCAGGGGACAGATGGACCGGGGCGGGGCCACCCTGGGCCAATCGGGGGCCACCCTGGGCCAATCGGGGGCCACTCCTACCAGTGCTTCCCTCTACTACAGACGGTGGCAGCAGTAATACTCTGAAATATTCTACCTTATTTATTATTTAAACCAGTTCCTGGTTAATGATGCTCATCAATATACTAACATTAAAGATGGTAAATATTTAATTCACTCTTTCAGATCTAGAGTTTGTCTTATGGGGTAAAGAGAGTCTCTGCGAGTCACAATGAGCCTTCAGTGAAATCAGAGATAACTAATCTAGTCATAATAATCCACTTAATGTAGATATGAGTAAGTATGGACCTAAGCAGAACGATTAAGATGTTAGATGTTGAAATATCTGCGCCTTTTAGTTAGCAAATGCTTTAGATTTAGTCTTTATTTAGAAAATATGGCTGCTGTTCATCTTCCTGGTGGAAGAGTGCAGCCTGACCCTGAGGTTCTGGTGCCGACCCGCCTTCTGCCAGCCTTCAGGGTACATTGGTTACTGCCTGGACTCCCTCATTAAACACCTCTGCAGATGGAAAGGAGGACACCAGTTAATCACTGGGCCTGAACATGAGGCGGTAATCAGGAAAGGAGTCTGGGTCCGAGTCACAGCATGTCCAAGACTGGACAAGGGTCTGGACATGAGGAGTCCAGACAGGTCAGGATGAGTCCTTGTCCGGGGGTTTGAGTAAGAAGCAGGCACAATGGAGGACTCACCGAGGCCAACCCCATGATGCGTGGAAAGGTGAAGGAGGAGCAACCGTCGGGCGTTTGTCCACAGAAGGTGTACGGCGTCTGGAACCAGGCTTTCTCATTGGCCCAAACCACGTCGCAGAGGGGGAGGAGGGCGGCACCCAGGCCAAGCGCCGGGCCGTTCACTGCCGCCACGATGGGCTTCCTGAACTGGATGAAAGTGTTGACAAAGGTCCTGAGGAGTAGAAAGACACAGGTGAGACGACGCCTCAAATATGGCTGAAGTGGTTCCGGGGCACCGCCAGGCTACCTGATAGTTTCTGCCATCTTGATGCTCTCCTTCTTCCTGTCGTCTGCCAGCCGTCTGATGAAATACAGGAAGTCGAGGCCGCAGCAGAAGACGCTGCCAACGGCACCTAGTAACACCAGCTTACTGTCGTCGGACGCCGCCGTCGCCATGGCGCTCTGGATCTCCTTCATCACCTGTAGGACGGCAGGCAATCAGAGCTGGTGTCGGGGTAGAGCCCAGCATGCTGCGGGCCACAGCCTCACCTCTGGATTGAGCGTGTTGTTCTCCGAGCTTTTGGTGGACAGCAGGATGTGCGTGAAGCCATCCTGCTTCTTCACCACGATGTCTCGGTACCGGTAGGCACTCTCCGTTTGACGGACACTGAACCGCAGACGTTTGTCGAATGTGGAGTGCTCCTCTATGCGTCGTTTACCCATCGCTCCGGTTGCCCCGGTAACGCTGTGAACAGCCGAAACGCCACCGGCTGCAACAGCCTCCATTAGTGCAGAGTTTCCTGGAGAAGAGAAGCAGAGGGGCAGTTACTGACTGGAACCAGTAGGAGAATCAGGTCAACCAGCTGCCAACTGGAAAAATTCCCCCTTTCCCTTTTAAAAAACGCGAACCCCTGGGTTTTTCTAAGGGCCCCGGGGGGGGAAACGTTCTAGTAACATCCGCCACGGAGTTCAACGGTTTCTAGGACACCCCCCCCCCCCCCCCCACCCCAACCCCCCCCAAAAACCCCCCCCCCAACCCCCCACAAACCACACCCCACAAAAACCCAAACACCCCCCAAACACCCAAACCCCCCCCCCCAAAAACCCCACAAACCGGCAAAAACAACCCCAAACCCAAAACCCCAAAAACCCATAACCACCCCCCAAACCCAAACACCCACCCATAACGGGGCATAACAACCCCAAAAACCCTTTTGAAACACACCACAAACCCCACCCCCCCAAAGGTTTTAAATTCAACACCCCAAAAAAACATTTCCAAAAAAAAAAATCCCCCGGGGTTTTATTTCTTGGTCCCACAAAACACCCAAAACCCCCCAAAAACAAAACCCAAAAAACCCCCCAAACCCAAAAAACCCCACATAACACCCCAAAAACCCACAAAACCAACACACCACAAAAACACCAAACTCACCAAAAACACCCAAAACAACCCCATCCGGCTGTCACCCCACAAAAAACTTCTAGTAACCCCAACCCAACACCAACCACCCCGGAAAACCTTTTTTTTGGGCCCCCCCCACCCAAACACCAAACACAGCCCCGAAAAACCCCCAAAAACCCCACCCCAAAACACCAAACAAACCCCCCCAAACACCCCAAAAATCCCACAAGTAAAGGTTTTTAGTAAACATCGCCAAGAGTCAAGGTTCTAGTAAAATCGCCAAGAGTAACACGGTTCAGAAAATCGCCCCGATAAACGGTTTTGTAACACCGGGTTAAACGGGTTTCCGTAAATCGCCACGGATTTTCACGGGTTCAGAAACATCACCCGGAGAACACCGGGCCAGTAACATCGCCACGGATTAAACGGTTCCAGTAACATCAGCCAAAAAGTAACACGGTTCCAGTAACATCACCCCCGGATAAACGGTTTTGTAACATCAGCCCCGGATACAGGTTCCAGTAACATCGCCCCGGAGAAAACGGTTCTAAATCAGCCACGGGTAAAAACGTTTTAGTAACATCAGCCCCCGGATAAACGGTTCAGTTACATCCCCCGGGTTTTTCGGTTCTGTAAAATAGCCAGGAGTTTAAAAGGTTTTTGTAAAAATCGCCACGGGGGGTTACGGTTTTGTAAAATCGCCCCGGAAAACGGTTCAGTAACATCGCCCCGGGGGTTAAACGGTTCCGTAACATGCCAGGGGGTAACACGGGTTTTATAAAATCAGCCACGGGTAAACGGGGTTTTTAGAACATCAGCCGGAAAAAAAAACGGGGTTTTTGTAACATCGCCACGGAGTAACAGGTCTGTAAAACAGCCACAGAGAACCGGTTTAGTAACATCAGCCCCGAGTAAACAGGTTCTAGAAACAGCCCAAATAACACGGTTCTAGTAACATCACCCGGTAACCCGGTTCCAGAACATCACCCCGGATTTTAAACGGTTCCCCGTAACATCAGCCACGGGTAAAAACGGTTTTGTAATAGCCACGGATAAACGGGGTTTTAGTAACATCAGCCACAGAGTAACACGGTTTTTAAAATCAGCCCCGGGGTTTAAACGGTTTTAAAACATCAACAAGGAGTAACACGGTTTTTTAGTAACAGCACGGGTAAAAACGGGTTTAGTAACACAGCCACAAACACGGTTTATTTAAAATCAGCCCAAGAGTAAAAACGGTTCGAACATCACCACGGAGTTAAACGGGTTCATAACATCAGCCAGGAGTAAACGGTTAGTAACACAGCCCGGAAAAGGGTTTAGTAAAATCAGCCCCGGAGTAAACGTTTGTAACTCAGCCCGGAGTAACAGGTTTCCGTAACATAGCCCCGGGTAAACGGTTCCGTAACACAGCCCCGGGTACACGGTTCAGAACACGCCACGGAGAACACGGTTCCGAAAAAAAATCAGCCCCGGGTTTAAACCGGGTTTTAACATCACCCCATTAAACGGTTTAGTAACATCAGCCCGGAGTAAACGGTTCTAGTAACATCAGCCACGGAGTAAACGGTTTTATAACATCCGCCACGGGGAAAAACGGGGTTCTAGTAACTCACCCCGGAGTAACACGGTTAGTACATCAGCCACGGGGGTTTAAACCCGGGTTTAGTAACACAGCCACGGATTTTAAAGGTTTAGTTAAATGCCCGGAGTAAACGGTTCTAGTAACATCACCCGGGTAAAACGGTTTAGTAACATCAGCCACGGAGTAAAGGTTCTTGTCACGCCACAGGGGAACCGGTTCTAGTAACATCACCACGGGTAACACGTTTTTAGAATTAGCCCCAGAGTAAACGGTTCATAACATCAGCCACGGGGTTTAAAAGGTTCCCGTAACACAGCCACGGAGTTAAACGGTTCCTAACATCAGCCACGGGTAACGGTTTTTAGTAACATACCCCGGAATAACACGGGTTTTAGTAACTCAGCCACGAGTAAAAACGGTTTTTCCCGTAACATCGCCACGGAGTTAACGGTTCCGTAACATCAGCCCCGGAGTAACCGGTTCTATAAAATCAGCCCCGGGTAACACGGTTCTAGTAAATCCACGGGGGTAACACGGTTTATAACATCAGCCCGGGTAACAGGTTCAGTAAATCAGCCCCGGATTTAACCGGTTCCCGTACATCAGCCACAGTAAACGGGTTCGTAAATCAGCCCGAGTAAAGGGGGGTTCTAGAATTCAGCCACGGATAAACGGTTTTTGTAACATCACCACAAAATAACACGGTTTTTAAAATCAGCCCCGGTAAACGGTTTAGTAACATCGCCACGGAAAAAAACGTTCTATTAAAAAACAGCCACAGAGTAAAACGGTTCAGTAACATCAGCCACGAGAACACGGTTCATAACATACCACGGAGTAAACGGGGCTACATCACCACGGGGTAACACGGGGGTTTTTTAAAAAAACACCACGGATAAAACGGTTTAGTAACAAGCCACAATAAAGGGTTTAGTAAATCGCCAGGAATAAACGGGGTTTAGTAAAATAGCCACAGTAAAAACCCGGGTTTAAACATCGCCACGGAGTTACTTCCAGTAACATAGCCACGGAATAAAACGGTTCTATAACATCACCACGAGTAACCGGTTCTAGTAATTCAGCCACGGAAAAAATATTCTAGTAACATCGCCCCAAGTAACACTTCTTGTAAATCAGCCACGGGTAAAACGGTTTAGTAACACAGCCACAGAGTAACACGGGTTTTTATAACATCAACGGGGTAAACGGTTTCTATAAATCACCCCGGTAACACGGTTCTACAACTTTAGCCCGGGTAATACGGTTTCTAGAACATAGCCACGGAATAACACGGGGTTTATAACATAAGCCAAGGTAACCGGGTTTTGTAAATTCACACGGGTAAACGGTTCAGTAACATCAGCCACTAACAGGTTCTTAAATCACCACGGAATTAATACGGTTTTATAAAATCAGCCCGGTTTACACGGTTTTTTAGAAATCAGCCAGGGGGTAAACGGGTTTTCCTAACATCGCCACGGATAAATACGGTTCTAGTACTCACCCCAGGTAACACGGGTTTAGTAATTCAGCCACGGGGAATAAACGGTTTAGTAACACAGCCCCCAGAGTAAAACGGGTTTCTAACATCAGCCCCGGGGTAAAACGTTCTAGTAACACAGCCAGGAAAAACACGGTTCTAGTAACATCAGCCCCAGAGTAACACGGTTTTTTGTAACATCACCCAGGGAGTAACACGGGGCTCTAAAATCACCAGGGGTAAAGGTTCTAGTAACTCACCACAGAGTAAAACGGTTCATAAATCAGCACGGATAATACGGTTCTAGTAAAATCGCCACGGGTAACCGGTTCAGTAAATCACCCCGGGGTAATACGGGTTTTAGTAACCCCACCGGTAACCGGCTATAACATCAGCCCGGAGTAAACGGTTTAGTAACCGCCGAAATAACCGGTTTTAGTAAAACAGCCCGAGTAAAACGGTTCTTTAACCCACCCCGGGGGTAAACGGGTTTTAGTAACATCACCCGAGTAAACGGTTTTTAGAAATCAGCACGGGAATAATACGGTTCTAGAAAAATCAGCCACAGAATGTTTAGTAATTAGAGAGTAATCGGGTTTTATAACATCACCACGGGGTAATAAGGTTTTAGTAAAATCAGCCACGGTAACACGGTTTATAAAACAGCCCCGGGTAAACCCTTTTTTAGTAACATCACACGGAAAAAACTTCTAGTAACATCAGCCCCCGGGGTAACACGGTTTTTTTTTTCACCCGGAATAATCGGGGCTAGTAAATAGCCACGAGTAAACGGTTTCTTTTAAAACAGCCACGGATAAACGTTCTTTTTTAACTTTTTTTTAGCCCCAGGTTTTTAAAACGGGTTTTAAGGGGGTTTTAAACCAAACAGCAGGCGATACCGGCCCCAAAAAAGCCCGGAAATGCCGGGGGCCCCCGGGGGCCCAAGGGGTTCCCGGGGGGGGTATTCGCCCCCCCCCGGAATATTAAGGTTTTTAGACATCAGGCCACCCGGTACCGGTCCCTAACTTTCCGCCACGGAGATCGTTTAGGGGAATTTAGGGACGGGAAAGAAAGTCATTTTAATCCCGGCCCCCGGGGAACCCCCGGGGCGGGCCTCACCCAGAGGGGGGGGACCAGGGGGTTTACTAAACATCAAAGGGGGGCCAGGGGGGGGGGTTAAACCCGTTTTGTTTCCCGCCCGGTTAACGGTTTACAAAAGCAGGATAAAGGTTCCCCCAGGTCCCCTGCCCCCGGGGTAATAAAACCCCCGCCCCCCTTTTTTGTAATCGCCCCCGGGGGTATACCCTTCTAAATTTAACCATCAACAAAAATCCCCCCACTCTTCTAAAATAACA